TGTTACCTGTTGTTCAGTCTTGTTACCTGTTGTTCAGTTCTGTTACCTGTTGTTTAGTCTTGTTACCTGTTGTTCAGTTCTGTTACCTGTTGTTCAGTCTTGTTACCTGTTGTTCAGTCTTGTTACCTGTTGTTCAGTCCTGTTACCTGTTGTTCAGTCCTGTTACCTGTTGTTCAGTATTGTTTTCTGTTGTTCAGTCTTGTTACCTGTTGTTCAATCCTGTTACCTGTTGTTCATTTCTGTTACCTGTTGTTCAGTCCTCTTACCTGTTGTTCAGTTCTGTTACTTCATGGTATTTTGGGGAAAAAAAAAAACATTTTCTCCAATTTTGTTTGGTCTGTCTTTTACCTAATTGTTTAATACATTACATGATCATAAATGTAATAAACTTTTGCTTTTGGTCTCTGTAAATTCATAAACGTGCCTTTGGAAATTTTAGAAAAACACTATTTCTATTTATATGAAGGGACTTTTTGGTAAAAAAAAAAAAATTTTAAGTATCTATAAAACCATTCCATCAAAAATAAAGACCTTATTAGGAATAAACAATGAAATTAGTTGTTATGCTTTAAAATATGCTTTTTGGATGTCACATGAGTTTTGGTAAAAATGAAAAAAATGCAACAATCTTCGACTTTAAAACTTAATAAAAAAATGAAATAAATCCCCTGAGATGGACCAATATCCATTTTGAATAGTTAGATATGTATATTACTAGATCCAGTTTAAAAAAACATGTAAAAAAATATATATTCTATTTTGGAGTTCCTACAAGCAAATGGCAGCAGTTCGGTGGAATGACCGCTCTCCTCTTGTTAAAGGTCTTCTCTACGTTCTCGTGGTGAAATTTATTGGTGTACCCTCATTCATAAGTCGTTGCTGGTTATTTACCTCCACATGTAACTCATCTCCTGCAACTAGCACCTGTTTGGAAGTAGGACGGCCGACCCGCTCAGTATTTGTGGTCAACATCTGTAAAGACCAGGTCTGGTTCTGCTGCTCCGGCTGACTGGAACCTGCTTCAGAAACTTTGGGCCTGACCTCACTCTTCTCAGTTTCTACTTTAAAAATTGTTTTAAAGCCGCGTTTAAACATACTTGTAAATGTTTTCATGCTTAGTAAAGTTGTGGTTTATGAACTGTTGTTAATTTGTGACTTCCTTGTTTGTTATTGACTCCTGTATTTTATTCTGCTTCTCTTGACCCTACAAGAACCTGTTGGTGCTGCCAGGCCAGGACCCTACAAGAACCTGTTGGTGCTGCCAGGCCAGGACCCTACAAGAACCTGTTGGTGCTGCCAGGCCGGCTCTGTCAACAACAAGCTGTTCTTAGTGTTCACGTCTGCTTAAATAAAGGTGGGATGAAATATTAAAAAGTCTGGATCATTGGATTCATCAGAACTGCTTCGGACTCTTACTTGACTTCCAGTCCCAGGTCGGACTCTCGGATCAGCTTCAGGTTATCCTCGGCGGTTTGCGTTGCCTTGGCGACGTAGTCCCAGAAAGCATCTTTCACCACGTCCAGGTTGGTTTTCTGCGGCTCGGGCCACAGGATGTTGGCGTTGCAAACTGTGGGTGAAACATCAGATGAGCTTCTCGCGGTTCAGTCCACACCTGAAACAGTTTTCATCTGGGTGGAAACACTCACCGCAGAAAAGAGCGAGAACCACCAGAACCTTCATCGTTGAACTCAGCCCTGTGGGACGAAACAGAAACGTTCAGTTTCAGACACAGGCCTGGAATTATTTAACGGAAATTAAGATTTGAGTCAAAGTTTCACCTTTCGAGGCAGCAGGTCTGTTGTTCAGAGTCGGAGGAGTCAGTGCGGCGCAGGCGAGCGCTCCTGGGTTTTATATCGGTGTTGGCGAGCAAAGTCCAGTCCAATCTGCCCTGCTGGACCTGTTCCTGCCCCCGCTGTCACTCCACATCACAAAGCTGTAAAACCCACCGACTCCGAGCCGCTCCAGGTTTAAAACACCAAAACAGCAGCAGCTTCAGCCAGAAGAACCTTCAGGTGCTTTCTGTTTGTGGTTCTGGAAGCTTCTGGACCAACTTGGAGCATAAAGAAACAGGAAGTTCATGAACGCTGGCAGTTTGACCAGAGAAGGAGTTCAAAACCAAAACGCCGAGGCACGTTTTCCAACGCTTTCTATGTTTGATGCGCTTCAATCTGTCAGATTATTTCTTCTGATGGATTGGAGCAGGGCTATTCAACTAGCGGCCCGGGGGCCAAATCAGGCCCACGGTTGAGCTCTGTACGGCCCACCAGTGGGTTCATTTTTAATAAAACTAGATTTTAAACTGTAAAACAAACTTACTTAATGACAATAACTGCTGGATATACGGTCCCTCAGCAATTTAGTTAAACAGGACTGGATTAGAGTCACAAACACACCTGTCCAAAGTCTGAGACACCACACCGGGACTTTACCCCCCAACCTTTACATCTGATGAGTCAAACTCCTTTTCTCTGAGGCCAATGAGAAATGTCAGTTTTGTATATTCACACTTTATATGATCTAAAATTACAACTCGAGTTGTAAATTTACAATCTAATGAAAACTTCTGTGGGTGTTTGAACAGGTTAGGAACTTTAAAACTCCAGGAAACAATATGGAGGTTAACCAGGTTTTACTAAAGCTCTACTTTATTACAACCTGCAACCAAAAGCCAAATACAGTAATGTTTTTGCTAATGTTTGTGCATGTGTTAGTAAAATATCTCATGATCCACAGGAGACATTTTTATTGAAGATGTAATAATAATAATAATAATAATGTCATCACAATGTCAGCACTGTATGTTTCCATACAATGGCGAAATTAGTCTCTGCATTTAACCCATCCACCACCAGGTGGTGCAGTGGGCAGCTATTGAAAGTGTGTTTACAACTGGAATTAGCACAATTCAAGATGGCTGCCACAGCCAACTGACCTTCAAAAACACAAATAAGACTAAGTCGGAGTCAGGTGTGCAGATGTTGAGGTACGGACTGGTGTGGTGGTAGCTGAGAGTCATCCACACCTCCCAAGTGCTACTAAACATGAAGCATCTTAAAGCTTTACTGTTCAGGTCAACCCTGTTTATTATTTTAATTATGAAATTTATTATTTTAAGTGTTTCTGATTTTGCACAGGATGATTAAAACAGCCGATTAACTGCCTATAAATTTTAACTACAAAGGCCACATAAAAGTCTGTTTAATACATTAGTTATGTGTTTTATTTATGTAGGTAAATTAATGTTTAGTTTTAGTCATATTTACGTTGCTTTGTACCCATAGAGTTAGCTTTGACATATCTTTACAGAGAAACACGTAGAGCTTGTTCCACCCGTCTTACAAGAAAAACAAACATTTGTAATCAGATGGCACAAAATATTGAGCAAAACAAACTGTCAACATCCAACAAGAGCCGAACCACGTGATGTACACAAATAATCCGATAATCACTAACAAGATAACCGGAGAGGCTTTTACAGCCGGTCTGTTCTTCACCAACTTTAATTTACCGGATCGGTTGTTTTCCTTAAATCAGACTGATAATAATAATAATAAAAACATAATACATTCAACATTCATGTCAAATGTTAACAATAACAAAGTGATAAACTGAAGTTTTATCAAAGATGTATAATAATAATAATTAAATTTAGTTAAGACTTGGAGATAGAACATTTCCGGTTAATCGAAACAAATAAAACATAAGTTGTGTTAACTTTGGATTGATGGGAGACAAATATATATTTTTAAAACTTCAGCTGCTTCTCGTCTGTTCTTCACAAAACACAAAAATTACAATTATAAACACAGCAGAGGATTTATGATAACCGTAAATTAAAAATGTACGTAGATCCGGTCACCATGGAAACATGTTTTCTACGGTATAGTAACACAAAGGCTCACACACTCAGATAAACAGCAGGATTAGTCTAGACTAAAACTTGATTGGTTAATAAAATATGTTTTTAAAATATTTTTACGGTCTTGTAGCGTTATTGGCATAACTGTTAAGAAAACGTGGTTATTTTCCGGTTAAACTCCAGAAACTGTGCACAAACTACAACATGATGGAGGGAAACCGTTAGCTTCCGGAGGGGCTAATGTTAGCGAGCTAAACTGTAAAATAAAACAGAAGTTGTAACCTTCAGAGATTTTATAAAATGTAATTAAGATTATAATATTACAATGACTGATGTAGGCCTACTCAACGTTTATTTATCAGATATTGCTGGAAAATCAAAGTCGTTATAAGAGAAATTACTGGAAAAACTGACTGAACTTAGTGAGCTAGCAAAGGAAGGTTAAAATGTCACTTTAGAGGCATCTGAAAGTGTTAATTAATATTTTTTTACATATTAAAAATGAGAAAATTGTTTAAAAAAAGTTTCAAGTCTGTTAAAATGTAATACAACATGTGAAGTAGTAATAAAATCAAAACTGGATTTATCTGAATACAGCACTTTTTCCAGAATAATCAAAAATCAGATCAGAAACTTGTCAAGCTTTACTAAACATTGAACACATTTTGTTTCCAATCTGTTGATATTAACAAATAAATGATAAAGAAACAGTTTCTTTTGTTAATTTGACAGTTTGAAACCTTTTGTGTTTCTTCTGTTTCTGTCAAGGCCTCGCTCTCGTCATGAAAACGTGTATATCAGCTGACTTTCTTACAACAAAGTCTTGTCTTATCAGTTTGCTGGGTTGTGTGAGGACACAGTGTTCTCCGGTACAAATAATCAAGTCCGATGGCAGAACCGGATCGAAGTCCCTCTCACGTCTCCCTGACCTACAGAACTTTTTGACAACAAGAGTTTTAAGAATGTTTAGGCACGTTGTAAATGTTTACTCAGTAAAGCAAAGCCATAAAAACAACATTTATGAGTCAAATCGTTTTATTCGCAGACAACTCCCACATTTTTAACCAAAAACTGTTGTTGATATTAAGTAGGAATGAAAACTTGGTGACGCAGAGGTTAGAGAAGGTGGGCCTGTGATCGGAAGATCGCTGGTTCAACTCCCGGTACAAACAACATCAAAATGTGGGTGGAAAAGGTGAAACATCCACACCTGCCTCCACCCTCATTTGTCACACTCTGAGCCCTTGAGCAAGGCCCTTGACCCCCACCATCTGCTCCCACGGGCGCCCTAGATGTCAGCCCCCAGCTCCAAACAGAGGGCTATGGTAGCTCAGTGGTCTGTGGTTGTGTCAGGAAGAACCATTCATCCATCCATTTTCTTCCGCTTATCCGGGGTCTGGTTGCGGGGGTAGCAGCCTAAGTAGGGAGGCCCAGACTTCCCTCTCCCCAGCCACTTGGTCCAGCTCCTCCGGGGGAATCCCAAGGCGTTCCCAGGCCAGAGAAACATAGTCCCTCCAGCGTGTCCTGGGTCTTCCTCTGGGTCTCCTCCCAGTGGGACGTGTCCGGAACACCTCACCAGGGAGGCGTCCAGGAGGCATCCTAACCAGATGCCTGAGCCACCTCAACTGGCTCCTCTCGACGTGGAGAAGCAGCGACTCTACACTGTCCTTCCCGGATGATCGAGCTTCTCACCCTGTCTCTAAGGGAGAGCCCAGACACCCTGCGGAGAAAACTCATTTTGGCCGCTTGTATCCAAGATCTCGTTCTTTCTGTCACAACCCAAAGCTCATGACCATAGATGAGGGTAGGAACATAGCTCGACCGGTAAATTGAGAGCTTCGCCTTTTGACTCAGCTCTCTCTTCACCACGACAGACCGGTACAGCGCCCGCTTCACTGCAGATGCTGCGCCTATCCGCCTATTGATTTCTTGCTCCATTTTTCCCTCATTTGTGAACAAGACCCCAAGATACTTGAACTCCTCCACTTGGAGCAGGACGTCCTCCCTGACCCGAAGAGGGCACTCTACCCTTTTCCGGCTCAAGACCATGGCCTCGGATTTGGAGGAACTGATCCTCATCCCGGCCACGTCACACTCTGCTGCGAACCGCTCCAGCGAATGCTGTAGATCACGACTTGATGAAGCCAATAGGACCACATCATCTGCATAAAACAAAGACGCGATCCTAAGGCCACCAAAACAGATCCCCTCAACACCTTGGCTGCGCCTAAAAATGCTGTCCATAAAAATTATGAACAGAATCGGTGACAAAGGACAACCTTGGCAGAGTCCAACTCTCACTGGGAATGAGCCCGACTTACTGCCGGCAATGTGGACCAAGCTCTGACATCGGTCGTACAGGGACCTAACAGCCCTTATCAAAGGGGCCCGGTACCCCATACTCCCAGAGTACCCCCCACAGGGCTCCCCGAGGGACGCAGTCGAACGCCTTCTCCAAGTCCACAAAGCACATGTAGACCGGTTGGGCAAACTCCCACGCACCCCCCAGGACCCTGCTGAGGGTGTAGAGCTGGTCCAGTGTTCCACGACCAGGACGAAAACCGCACTGCTCCTCCTGAATCCAAGGTTCGACTATCCGACGGACCCTCCTCTCCAGAACCCCCGAATAGACCTTACCAGGGAGGCTTAAGAGCGTGATCTCCCTGTAGTTGGAACACACTCTACAGTCCCCCTTTTTGAATAGGGGGACCACCACCCCGGTCTGCCAATCCAGGGGAACTTCCCCCAATGTCCACGCAATATTGCAGAGTTGTGTAAGCCAACACAACCCTACAACATCCAGAGCCTTAAGGAACTCCAGGTGATTCTCCTCCACCCCTGGGGCCCTGCCACCGAGGAGCTTTTTAACCACCTCAGTGACCTCAGAACCAGAGACTGGAGAGCCCAACCCAAAGTCCCCAGGCTCCGTTTCCTCAGTGGAAGACGTGCCGGTGGGAATGAG